TCTTTGGATGTTTCTGCACCTTTTTCTCCTGGAGGAGTTTTGACGACAGACAGAGAGCCAAAGAACCAGGGAGAAAGGTTTGTCTGAAAGTGATGTTCTTTTCAATGGTCGTGTGTGTTTTTAGAGCTAGATGCGACAAAGCCGGGTCTCTAGTGACCATTGGTCCTCTGCAGTCTCGAGCTTAACCCGTCCTCAAAACCAGTGTATTGCACTGAAACTTCGTGGGCGGGTGTGCTCGTGAGTGGAGGCGCCTCGGCTTTAGAGAGTCGGCTTGTCGTATTTCGCTCTGTGTGAATGTGTGTAAATTCCAACAGTGACGGACGCTATCATTTCGGTGTTACAGACTCCTCGAATCACTTAGATTCTCCCCGGCCGACCACAGACTCCGTGTAAAGTAACGGGGGTTGCAAGCGGTCGGGGGTCCCGGTGATGAGGGTGTATTGGTAGCATGAAAGAGGACCCCTTTCACTGTTGGAATGTGTGAGTGTGTATTGTGTGAACTGACTCGGCAGTAGCTAAAACCGTGTTCTCTAGTGACCATTGTTCCTGCAGCCGTTTATGCGTTTGACGAACGGGTATCATTGAGTAGCGAGATTGGGAAACCGCAAAAAACCAATCTCCCCCTGTCCGGGGTAGGGAATAGGATGGGTGATAGCTGGTAGTTTAGGTTCGTCGATAGGTAAGTGGAGTGGCCTCAAGGATGTTGTAGTATTCTGCCGGAAGTTCATTAATGCATATTTGCATTAAGATTGAGGGTGGGTGAGGGTGTTTATTTTTGGGGATCTGGGATACTACATGACCTCTGAAAGAGCAGGAACTTTTTAAGGATTCTTGAGTATTAGACGGGGGACCGTTGATGGTTCTGAGGGTGAAGTTCTTGTTGAGAGTTTTTATTCTCTCGAGAATAGGGGTGGTATTGGCCGTTCGATGGATTTCACGGGAGGGGAAGTGCCACCGTTTTCTGCACGTTCTACGAAGAATCCTCCGCTCCGCAGAGAGCAACTTTTTTGTCTGGCGTTCTTTAAGAAGGCAGTATAAGTGAGCCTTATACTCTGTAACGGGTCGAATGAAGGTTTTATAAATATGTGTGAGAGTTATGTTATTTGTTTTGCCAAATGTCCCTGATAGTGGAACTAGGAGACGGGCTCTGTTTCTGACCCTATCTAAAGTTGCCTTTAGATCAGCTTTCCAATTAAGCGTCTTAGTAAATAAAACGCTCAAGTAGCAAGCTGTAGGGCTAGTTACGAGCCTTTCTCCCATCAGATACAAGGGTGTTTGGTCGACTTGATTAATTGCGAGTCGATTTGATATGAAAGGGGCGCGAAACACTATAGACTGTGTTTTCGCTGCGTGTAACGTAGCTCTCAACTTATTGAACCATTCTGCGATACCGGTTAATAGAGTTTGTGCTCTTCTAAAGGTAGTCTAAGGAAGGTAACTACTCCCTGTTGTAAGGAGGGCTATGTCATCCGCGTAGAGGAACAGATGGATGTGTGGAGTATTTGGAGTAGGTAGAGAGCTGTTGTATGTGATGTACAACAGTGGTGCAAGCACTGATCCTTGCGAAACTCCCGCTCGAGGAGTGAAGGGGGTTGATAACTGATCGCTTATTCTCACTCTCACCGTTCTATTTGTAAGATAAGAGTGTATGATTTTGATAAATTGAAGAGGAAGCCTGATGTCCATAAGTCTTCGAACAAGTCCGTCATACCAGACTTGATCGAAGGCCTTTTGTACATCGAGAAAAGTGGCGATGGCGATGCTGTTGCCGTTTATAGATTTGGTAACTTTTGAAGTAAAGTCTATTAATGCATTGTGTGTGGATCTTTTTGGTTGGAATCCATACTGGAATTTGAGAATGATGTTATTTGTGTCGAGAAAGTCGCTGAGCCTCTCCTTTTGGAATAGCTCAAGGACTTTCCTTGGTGAATTGATTAGAGAGATTGGTCTGTATGATTCCACATTCGTACAGGGTTTACCCTTTTTGGATATCATGATGGTGTTTGCTATTTTCCAAGGGGTAGGAAAATAGCTGTTTTTTAAGTTGCTTTAGACACCTTCTACTGTATTATCTGTCGGATCCGGGAGAATTATTTTTGCCTATACGGCAATAACTCTCCGTCTCCCTATGAGTAATAGGGTCCATGATCGGGACGTGATTCGGAGTTTGGTGCAAGAGAGTATTTCTTACTGCATAGTCGGTTTCGTGTTTGAATAAGCGATCAAAGTTTGGATTATTGAGGGTGTGAAAGTTTTCGTGAAGTAGGAATATGAATTTGTTCCAGAATTTACTCCCATCTCTGTAATTTAATTTCGAGGTAGCATCTTCCCACTGGCAAGCCTGTAGGATAGATATTTCCCTCTTAATTCGAGCATAGATGTAATTATACTCTGTTTTGACAAGGGGGTCTCTGTTGATCTTGTATTGACGTAAAAGCCATCTTTTTTATGTCTTTTGGCGATGATGTGTTGTGGAAGTGCCGGAGAGAAAGGTTGGATTGGTTTCATTGGAATTGAGTGATTGATTGCCTCGTTTATAAGGTTCTCAATTTGGATCACACTCTGGTCAATACTTTCATTAGTATTAATTTCGCCTAACTCAGGAATGTTATTTGTGATATATTGTTTGAAGTGTGGTTATTTGTCTGGGAGGTGGAGGGATAATATCGGGAGATGGTTGGACGTTATTGTGTCGCCTATGTGATATCGATCGTCGAACCTGTGCATCATGCTACCTGTGACGATGATGTGGTCCACGATAGATGCCCCATTTGTGTTCAAAAACGTGTAATCAGTGATGGTGATTCTAATGATAGGAAGGTCAAGAGAAAATCAGTGAGTCTGATGCCTTCCGGGTTTGAGAAATGATCACCGAATTGCGTGTGTATAGAAAGCGGGCTTGCTGGATGCCTGTAGTAAGAGATTTTCGTGAGGGTTTGGTTGTTTGGAGGTTCAGGTCAATTGCCAGGAAGTCCACGTTGGGTCGTATGTTTTGAGAAAATACGTGGGGGGAGTGTGGTAGCCCATGTTTGATAAGGATACCATTCCCACGGGAAACCTGACAGCGGCTTCGGTAAATTGTTGAATATCCTACAAAAGTCGGAGTATTTTGACAGAGTGTGTTAGTAATGGAAAGTATTTGAATATTGTGCTTTTGCAGGATATGTTTGATTAAAGGTCTCTTTTTAGAGATCCCTTGGCAATTAACTGCTCCTATTGTGAAATCCATGTAAGGTACTTAAAAGTTGGGGTGGAAGGTCATTTCGACCTTATTACTGTGGCCAGACAAGATTTTTGGATGTCGGTGGTGAGGTCGAAAGGGGGAGATGACCTTTCGATGGAAAGTGGCTGGATTTGGTGTGGATTGTTTGGTTGTTCGTGCCTTTTAGGGCAACGGGAGGAGAAGGCCGTGTGTTCGCCGTTGCAGTTGGGTCATTTTAGTTTTGTGGGGTTAGGACAGTCCCTGGATTTGTGGTTTTGACCACAATTAGGGCATATGAAGGATCGTTGCCGGCACTCTGAAATAGTATGGCCGTTTGAGCAGCATTTGCTGCAATATTTTGGGGTTGCTGAGTGAGGGAGTTCGGTATAGTGGATGAGTCCATCTAAAGATATGCCGTAATTTAGGACGTGTTTGAGTTTGTCATTAGAAGTAGTGAGTACTTTGATGAGTTTGGTGTATTTGCCAGTTTGTCGAGATTTAACTCTCCACAATCTAGCGATAGGTGTGTCTTGTTCTTTTTAAAGGAATTGAACGAGTTTTTCCTCACTGTATTCGTGGAAAACGTTTACAATGAGGAATTGAAAAGTCTCTTGCCTGGTGGATTGGTTGATAGAAGTGTGGGCTCTAGACGTGATTTTTACTTGCGTTTGTCTGGTGGCTTTGTGGACTTTTGCTTGGAGTTCTTCCGCATTCATGGAGTGGAGTGTTCGGAAGTGGGCGATGCCATGGTGTAGGACTTTAAGTGAGTGAATTTTATTGTATAGCATTGGTATACAATTTAGGATGCGGAAGAAGGTTCTCTGATTGCAGAAATCTTTGGGGATGTCTTTGACTAAGTACTCAAATGTCTTCGGATTGTTGATTGAATTCGTGATATTTGGGTTGTTTTTGGGTCGTGAAGTTGGGGGTGCCCTAAGAGCATTGGCGAAGTTGGTTGTCGTGAGGTAGATGGCATGTTTGGAGTGGGTGCTTTCGTTTGTTGAGAAGTGGAGGGCTTGGCCGATTTTTGTGAATTGGAAATAGAGAGTTTTCGGTGGCTGGATGGAAGAGGTGGATAATCATAGGGTGTCTGATATCGTTTATCTCTATTTCCCGACGTTTACACACAAAATAAAACATAAAAATAATTACTAAATTTACTAGACAGTTAGGACTGAGTTCAGTGAACAAGAGACACAGAAAAGTTTATTTGGCTCATAAACTAATTGAACACATAGTTGTTTCTAAAAGAAAAACTTAAAGGTAAAGTAAATACAGACTTGATAGACATTACATGTTAAGAATATTAGAGAAATGGCATGGGCTAAAATATTTATAAGAATGGTAAAACTCAAAAATACTTTTTTATTTTATCAACCTGCATGGACACAAGCACACCAACAGAGCTACAAATTTGATTTTTCATTCAATTTGTTAGGAATGCATAAAAATAAAGCTGAAAATATGGTAAATAAAGAAAATCTCCCCCTTCTACTAGTTTGAGTTTAAGAGTATGTATCATGTATGCCCCATATTATATGTACTAAACTATATTATGGGTTTAACATGTTCTGTGTGCTTAGTTCCACTTTCTGTCTTACTTAGTAAATTTGTGTGAAACTTATAGGATTGTACCCATTTCATAAGGTCAAAAATGAATAACTAACAAAATAATTATTATTTTGTCAGAAATTTACCTACAAATTATTTATCATAAAGATATTATATAATAGTCAAATATAAAGAAATACATTTAAATATTAATCTTAACTTCTAAAATATTCCCTTAAATACTTACCTAATAATTCTAAAGCAAAAAATGTGAATAAGAGAGGCACTTCTATTAAACGTCTTTTAAAAGCCATTTTTATTCTAAAACACAAATAAATTAGTCAATTTTAATATAACACAAATAAATATAGACATTATTTCATTATTTTTAATTTTATATGCCAGTAATATTTATACTTCCTATTATGCAAAGATAACACTACTTTTACTATATTTTCAATGAAAGATGACTTTTATGTAATGATTTAATATGTTGCATTAAAGACAAAACAAATGAAACATTTACAATTATTTGTTATATGTTATGCCCTTCAGAAAATTTTCAATTTGCTAGAGAATGGGGATTTTTATTACTGAAGGTTAACTAACTAAAAATTTTACACAAAGACAATATGTACTTACCCTAAAATATAATATTTCTACTTGTACTGGATATATTAATTAAAATATATTGTCCTTAAATAAACAGTTAATCAAACTGACTAGAAAACGTACTTTTAATGGATTAAATTTATATATTATGTATACCATAGGTATGTCTAATAACTGCAGTGGCGGCTGGTGTGGTAAAATTTAAGGTAGGCTAAGCCAGCAAATTACATTGTAAATTTAGCGCCATATTCTGTGAATCTTTTATTATCGCCCAATTCCAGTTATTAAAACTTTTTGTAATCCGAGAAACGTTGCTCTAAATGAGTGATAATATTGTTCAAAATCTCAAAAAAGATCCTTCTAAATTTGGTTAGAAAATGTAAGGTCATTTCTCCAGCTCTTTAACATTGCAACACTTCAGGACACTGAATTGACACACAATTGAACATCATTATTTTCCTTCTGCAATATGTTGTATAAGAGCTCAGTTTGTTGAAATATATCACTAAACACATTTAATAAAAATACAAATTCCAAATCCTCCAACTTACGTTTAAAATCATCTGCCTGCCTAACTGATTTTGCATTTGATTCTGGGCAATTCATTATGTCCTCAAAGACTTGTAGCAGTTTTTTTCTTTCTTGTGAAACAGCATATACTACTTTTGCATTTGAATTCCATCTTACTTCACTATTTGTGGTAATTCGTTTTCCAAGTATTTTATTAAAAAAAAATAGGACCGTTTGGACGATTGGTGAAAATAAGCTGAAATACCTTGAAGCGTTGAGAATAATATTTTGACTGTTGTAATGTTGGAGCAATTTTGCTGTAAAACTAAGTTGAGGCGGTGAGCGAAACAATGGGTAAATATTACTAATGGTGCAGAATCTCTCACTAATTTTTGAACTGCATTAAGTTGTCCCGACATAACACTAGCTCCATCGTAGGTTTGAGCAATTAATTGAGCTTTACAGTCAAATTTACCAATTACAGTAAACAGTAAGTCACGTAACGCTGGAGCACTTCGATCTTCCCCTAGATCAAAAAACCTAAGAAATATTCTTGAGCAACGCCTTTTGTTTCCACTAATTTTCATACTATTGAACAATGTGCCCTTTAAGTAATATCGGTTTTTTTTTATTTAATTAATGGCTTTGGATACTTGATCCATTCAGCCACGATAATGTATTTGACTACTTGAATTTTATAATGATGTATTGAACTATTGCATTTGTTAACAAAATAGTACTTCGCATAGAGGTAAATTAAAAATATAATGTAAACATCAGTATCAAAAGAATCAGTAGCTTGATAAAAAACCATACATTCATTCGTTCCATTCAATGCCCTAGCCAACAATATTTAGGACCCACAAGGGATTACATAATATAGGGATACTTTTCACGCTAAGGTGACTTTCATAGCGACTTTATTACAACACAAGACAGGCAACGGTTAGAAGGTAACTATATAACATAAGGATAGGCAGAGGGAACAAAGCTAGATTTACACATTCACATTACACATTCAATCCTAAATTTTTCTTTTAGTCCTTTTTAAATACTCCCAAAAAATTTGGTTAACCCTAATATTATGACGACAGATATATAAAATGGAAGATTGACACTGAGGGAGAGGTATTTGTTCTTTTATCAGTTTTTCTAATAGATACCTAATAGCAGCTTCATTATATATGCACCCGAACATCCAATGAGTAATATCGGTTGTTTCATCAAGAATGCATGCAAAAAATGAAGAGTTAATTATGGCGTTCTCATACAACACATTTGTGTTGTTTGTTTAAAAATTTGTTACAATTATAGATTATGTTGCATATTTTTTATCATAATTTAAAAGAAAATTTATATTACAATTCGATAATTACGTCACAAGTGACAACGATGGTCGGCGTAGGCCCGATCGTCTGGTGCCTAAAGAACAATCATAAAGGTCGATTCAGACACATCAGTCCCGTCACAGTCTCGGCGCCGAACCGGTCTTGTTTGGTCACAGAACTATTAATTATCTGACAGATGGGAAACTGTTCGTCAACTGATGAATGTAAAAGCCAGCGCCATATTTCTATTAAAGAATATTTTGTATGACGGATTGTTCGGTTCGGCGCCAGGACTGTGATGAGACGTGACTGATGTGTCTGAATCATCCTTAAACACGACAACAAAAATCGTTGTCCGACAAGCTGCTTACGCAACTTGTGTTATCAAACGCTTTTTGTACGAGGATCTTATGTGAGTTGGGTCGGCCAGTTACGATCAGGCCTATTAATGGTATTTAAAATGCCTGAATACGATTCGATGCTTTCTGTGGTAATATAATAATATAGTTGTTTTAACGGACGTTAATGTATTGAGTGATTTAGTACATTTAAAAGTTATTTACATGCATTAACATAATTTTTGAATATATGTTTTTTAATTTTAAAGCTCTTAAAATTATTGGGTAGGCCCGGCCTATCCTGCCTACCCCCAAAAGCCGCCACTGAATAACTGTACTGTCTCATGAATGCATCTTTTTTTTTGTAATTATTCATTCAGACAGCATACTAAATCATATTTCTATCATTAATTCTAGTTTCTAGGATTGTTCTTTTAAATGTTTTGTTTTGAATAAAACAATCACAACTAACAAAGCCAAGATCAGTTTGACATTTACGTCAAAAGGTGGTCAAAAATGTTTAATTATACAGGAACATGGGAAATTTAAACAGATTATTGATATTTTCTGTGGATTCAAAATTTTAAGAAAACTATAATAATAGCTGCGCCGGTATACGTTACAATTTTAGTTTAAAATAAATGCTAAAAAAATCACCGGGCGAGACCTTTATCGCGGTGAAACAAAATACAGTAGACTCGCGATTATCCGAGTCCCGATTAACCGAGCCTCTGGATTGATCGAGGTAGTAATTGAAAAGAACAAATTATGTAATAAATTAGTTAAGAGTGATATCAAGTAAAAGCGTTGCACTGGTTGTTGGTATGCTGAAGAGATGATTCACTAGCGAATGTTATTGTTCTAGCCACTGTGCTTCTACTGGCTACCTCGCCAGCCACTCTTTTACCCTTCAGTTTTAGTCATAACAGCTAGCTGTTCGGTTCGTCCCACTGTAAGCTCTTACAAGTTCATTCATGTCTTCTCTTTGTGTATTTTCTACGTAACTTCAAGTGCAACATAAGTTTAAAATGTAAACGAGTTGTGCTTTCTTTAGAAACAAAATTAAGTGCTATAAAACGCTTGGATAAGGGTGAGTCACTAAATAAGGTTCCTACTGGCCTAGGTGTTGAAGAAGTGACTGTGGAAGATTGAAGACGCAAACGAAAATATATTGAACAATCGGTTAATAAAAGTGTGAGTGGTGGAAGTAATTTGTTGCGGAAAACTATGAAGAAACGACAATACGAACAGACATCTGAAGCCTTATTTTTATGGTTTTTTAATCTTGGAAGGTTGGGAAGTCCAAATAGCGGCCACATGCTTTAAGCTAAGGCTGTCGAATATCACAAACGGTTTAAGGAGGGCGAAGAAAATTTTACTGCAAGCGATGGTTGGCTCGACAAATCTTCAATTGTGGCGAAACAGATCTCAATTTCAGACTGCTTGCAACTAAAATACTGGCAGCTCAAAGTAAAAAAACTAATCGTTGATACAAAAAATCAAAGAACGAGTAATTCAGTTGATGTGTAGCAACTCTGCTGGATCTTTAAAATTCAGACCATTGGAAAATCGAAGAAACCAAGGGCTTTTAAAAATATTTAAGTAAACTGTCTGTCCACCATACCAACTAGATCCAGATCAAGAGATAAAATGTAGAATCGAGATAGCCCGCACGACATTTTTAAAAATGAGGTCATTCTTCTGTAATGATAACTTGCAACTTCAACTTCGAAAGCGCATGGTTAAATGCTACATTTGGTCAGTCCTCTTATACGGTGTCGAAGCATGGACATTAAAAATATTCACTATTAATCATCTGGAGGCCTTTGAAATGTGGCAGCACAGACGTATACTAAAAATTCCATGGACGGCTATGCTGACAAATGTAGCAGTCCTTGAAAACAAGCTGCTTGATAACATCAAATGTAGAAAGATGGACTATTTTGGACACGTATTAAGGGGACATATAATCAATCAGAGACTGAAAACATTCCTTCAAAGAGAAATTCCACAAAAGCAAACTGGATTTACCAAAGGTAGAGGCACTCGAGAACACCTGCTGAATATGACAGATAATCGAGAAATCTAGGGAATTCAACATCCCACTATACATCTGGTTTATAGATTACCGTAAAGCGTTTGACAGGGTCAAGTGGAGACACTTATGGCGAATACTAAAAGAAGTAGGCGTACCACAACATCTAATTACGCTTATAACCGAACTATATGAACACACTACTGGATCAGTTAAAGTACTTCACACACTTTCGAACGAATTTCATCCAGAACGGGGTGTCAGACAAGGATGTATACTATCTCCACAATTATTCAACATATATGGGGAGTATATTATGCGAAGAGCACTTGAAGGATGGGAAAAGGGCATCTCAATAAATGGTCATAAACTACCATAAAACAACCTACGTTTCGCAGATGACACACCCCTTCTTGCAAATAGTCAAGCAGAGCTGATAGTACTTATACGACTGATCGAAAACGAAAGTCAAATATTTGGTCTGCAATTAAAAATATCAAAGACAAAGATCATGATAGTGGATAGACTACACAACAATCATCCACACATAACCACAATTGACTGGTTCGAGGTTGTGAGCTCATACTTATATCTGGGATCATTAATCACAAACACAAGGCCATTACAAGAAGAGATTAAACGTAGATGTGATCTAGCAAAAGTTGCCACAGCAAAAATGACCAAAATATGGAAGGACTGTCAAATTTTAAGAGCGATAAAGATGAGGTTGATCAACTGCTTAATATTCTCAATACTGACCTACGGATGTGAATCTTGGACTCTGAGACAATCGAAGAGAAGAAAGATAGACGCCACTGAAATGTTCTGTTGGAGACGAATGTTACGAATTCCTTCGACCGACCGTAGAACAAATAATTCAAGTTTAAGAGAGCTAA